ATATTGATTGTCACCTCAGACAACAGATCACGTCCTCTAAGACTATCCCAAATATAACATCATCATCATCATGTAGCAGGTCCTACGCAGACGTCGCTCTTATCACGGTCTGCATGACAGAAGCTCGGTCTCTCGCCAGCGTTCCTGCTTCATGTACTTTCATACTCAAGGAGTCACTTATATCCTGTGCCCATCATCGTGTCGGTCGGCATATACAACATATAAAAGCAAAATTTATGGCCAAGAGAAAGACCGGTAGAAGCCAAGATTTAAAGGTCGCTGGCTGAAAAAAAAAAAAAAACAGCAACGGCCATATCAGAGATAATGAGCAGGATATAGATAAAATATTTAAAGCGAAAGGAAGAACAAGACGAAGAAGAAATAGAAGAAAAAGAAGAAGAAGAAGAAGAAGAAGAAGAAGAAGAAGAAGAAGAAGAAGAAGAAGAAGAAGAAGAAGAAGAAGAAGAAGAAGAAGAAGAAAAAGAAGAAGAAGAAGAAGAAGAAGAAGAAGAAGAAGAAGAAGAAGAAGAAGAAGAAGAAAAAGAAGAAGAAGAAGAAGAAGAAGAAGAAGAAAAGAAGAAGAAGAAGAAGAAGAAGAAGAAGAAGAAGAAGAAGAAGAAGAATTAAGAATAAAAAATCCTAGCGATGATGAAATCCATGATGATGAGGATGATAATAATCAGTTGATGATAATAACTATGTTAAAGTCAATGATGCATTGGCTGAAAATGCTGTCACAGATGATGATAGTGATGATGACGGCGAAATACAATCGGAAACACCACTCACGGATAATGAGTACTTGAACAGGTTGATATACTGGACCCAGTTCAGCCAGGGACCTATCGAGTCTGGGTTGATGAGGAAACCTCCAAACAGCTGCAAGAAACATTCGGTGTCAGGATTCATATATGTGCACACACATACACACACCACACACACATACACACACCACACACACATACACACATAATGGGGAAGAGAGGTAGAGAAGACACACAGATTGATGGACAGATGGATGGACATGTGGATAGATAGATGTATAGACAGACGGATAGCTAGCTAGCTAGATAGATAGCTAGGTAGTATGGACAGATAGGTAGGTTGATGGACAGACATAAATATATATATATATATATATATATATATATATATATATATATATATATATATATATATATATATATATCATTGGCACCTTTCCGTCTTTCCGTCTGGTGTTTTACTGCGCTGTTAGGAGGTATGGGACTCACAGCCCATGGCGGTGGCGAGTGTGACTAGCAAGACCCACCCGTGTCAACAAAAGTCTTCCACAATGATAGCATGGGATTTCAGGACCATTGTTGTCAACCTTTGTGTTTAATCCGATTTTTTTCAGACACTCCGCTCTCATCCTTTCTGCAATCATTTCTTCCTTCAGTCTCATTCCCCTTCTTGACATGCCCTTTCCACACAACACGGTCCATGGCATGTTGTTCCCATGAGTCCACCTCAATACCTGTATCATTCATGTCCCGCTTGCACACATCTGTATATATATATACATATATATATATATATATATATATATATATATATATATATATATATTTTATGAGAGATAAAAAGAGCAGCTCAGATGTTTTGAATAAGGCGAGGGCGCAAAGCCAATTTATCACAAACATCAGAAAAAGTCATCATTTTTTGGGGGGTGCTGTTATGAGAAGAGGAGAGCTGGAACATGTTGTGACCACTAGAAAGATTTGTAGCAAAAAGAGAGACAGGTGAGGACAGCGCGAGAAGTTTCTTGACAGTCTTCTGTCATGGCATGTAGGGGTGTCAACACACGAACTGATACACGCAGTTGCGGATCGCAAATTGTGGAGAGGCATGAGCGCCCACGTCATCTGACAAGACACTCTTTGATAATAAATACCGTCTTGGGAGCCGTGGTGATTTAGCGGTTAGACACTCGCCAGTATACCCGAAGGTTGTGGGTTCAAATCCGCATGGAAAAAAATTTTGTTTTCATACATACCATTGGCTCCCAGTTCGACCCAGCCTTATGAAATAAGTACCAGGTAAAATTCTGGGACGTATGGGCGACCGGCGTGATTTTGACATCATTCATTGAGGGACGTCGATTGGGCTATACAATTATGAGTCTTAGCCTCATATGCTTGATGTGCCACTAGAATGCAAAGGGCCCTTTACAAGACTGACTTACGGTGCTTTATTAATATCCTTCCCCAAACAGGGAAAATCCACAGGTCACGGGACAGTCTAATATTTAAGGGGGTGGTAGATAGGCTGCATGCAGTCGTGGGGCCTAGGCTGCATGCAGTCGTGGGACCTAGGCTGCACTCTCTCGTGGGACGTAGGTGGGTTGGGGTTAGGATCAGTTCTAGGTGTTTTAGAGTCGTTAAAAGCATCAGAAAGCCGTGAAACCCAGTCTTACCACCCTCTAAAATGTTGGACTGTTCTGTGACGTCAGCTGAGGATAGGATATTAATAAAGAACCTGACTGACTTACCATCATAAAGATGTAACCTGTTGCCAGGAGCAACTGTGCCACAGCGAACACCCGAACTGTAGCACTGAGGAAAAAACACAGACCGGCCGCGGCGAGGGTCGTACACAGCAAGGAAAAGACGAACATGAAAAAGTGGTCGGCTCCTGGGTTTAAACCTTGGAAAAGATGAAACAATTTTTAATTAGCGCACATAAGTTTTTCTAGGACTACACAGATTCTGGAATTTTCACCGACAAATGAATAGAAAAAAAAAAAGAAAAAAAAAAACATTCGTCAAATCCCAAACATTCAGGATTGAGTCGATAGAATATTAACAAGTGGCAAGTAGAAGAGGCGGGATTTTTGTTGTTTAGGTGGTATTTAAGCTAAACGGATGGAGACGTTTGGATTACTCTATTCTCAATTTCGTTCTTTTCAGGACGAAATTTTTTGTCATTTGAAGCTCTACTCTGGCTTCTGCCAGGGGCCGCAATATAGGCAGGCCATACATATGGCCAAATGTCTGAACGCGGTTTCTGGGACCTCTCCACGGCGATCCTCATCCACATGGTGGCACTTTGTGTCATCGGGTGTTTATCACTTGTGTGATGTCCTGGTGAGGTAGAAAGTCAGTCAGTCAGACGATTGGACAGAGCGGTGCAACATTCCAGAGAATCTCAGGTATAGCACTGCCATGGACAACCTATATAAAAACTTGGGTGGCTGAAATCGACACACAGGTGGCATTGCGAGGCTTCAGAAATAATGTTCCTGGGCCAGACGGCGTACGCTATAGCCACATCAGACATTTAAGTAATGATGAAATACTACGACTGGTGAGGGACTTTAAAGATAGCATTCAAACTTCAAATGTACCAGAACACTGGTTACAGTTATCCTATCCCTCTGAAAAGAGATCAGGGGACCCATAAGGGGGAAATAAGTCTTCTTCATTTTTTACTGTTCACCATTTGTAAACTCTGGTAGAAAGTTCTGGCTGTTTGGTCTTGTTTAGGGTTGCCATATTTTGATCTTCCGAAATGAGGATACTTCCATATTTTGATCTTCCGAAATGAGGATACTTCCATATTTTGATCTTCTAAAATTAGGATACTTTCATATTTTGATCTTCCGAAATGAGGATACTTCCATATTTTGATCTTCCGAAATGAGGATACTTCCATATTTTGATCTTCCGAAATGAGGATACTTCAATATTGTGATCTTCCGAAATGAGGATACTTCAATATTTTGATCTCCTAAAATGAAGACACCTCTTTTAACATGACATTCAGTGTAATTTGTGTTCCATTTATATTCTCCTAGTGACCTGATTTTATTTTCATAATGTCTTTTTTTTTGCATCAAATGTCCATGAAACTGCACGCATGTGAAATGTTTGAAATTACAGTTTGCATGTGAAATTGACATGACTGAATCCCCATTTCTCTCACTGGTCAATTAGGCACGGGTTAAATAAAATAGTTTGTGAGCTGGAATAGCAAAGAAGAACTGTGCTATCTTCGTGAGTTCAGAGTACTTTTGATTGCTTCTACATCATTATAGTCTTTCAGTTAGTCACACCAATTTTTTTTTTTTTTTTTTTTTTTTTTTTTGCGATGACACTTGATTTTCATAGGCGGAAGCAACTGTCTCAAGTTTGCATTACTAATCGCAGCATATTGAATCATCAATGTGCAAACTTTTGTCAATCAAAAATCTGACAGAAGCTTTCATATTTTTACATGATACGTCATCAAAATCCAGCCACTGAAAATTCACACATGGAATCACAATCAGGTATTCCAAGCATCATTCATAAACTCCTTGCACATTATAATAGACTGTTTTAACTTTGTCTTCATGGCCTTTACTTTCCAACTTCTTGATAATGTCTTTCACGTTCAAATATAAAAATAGTCCATTACCTCCCCTTGAATGTTGAATTAAGAATCGACGTCACAGCACTCGAGACAGCACCCCCCCCCCTTCCCTCCCCCTGAAGCGCTCCGTCTCCATCTTCAGCGGCAAGCGAAGAGTTCCAATTCTGATGGCACCAGTAACTGTCTGATTATATATCCGTCTTACCTTTCCCCTGAGTGTTAAGCGCTGGCCAGATCCCCTTGTAACTCCTCGTTACGCCATCCTCCCTAGAACGTAATGATCTATCTGTACCTCTGCACTATATACAATCGTTCGCAAAGAGCACTCACAACATCCAGCTTGTTATACATCAGTTCACCACCAAGCGACGCAGAGCTGGCCAGTCTATCTGCCTGCTCATTTCCCAACACACCGCCATACCTTGGAGAAAATATCTTCTTTTTCTTCTTCTGCGTTCATTCGAAGATGTAATTACTTTGGGTCCGTTTACAGCATAGCTGCGATATTTGCACCTTTCGGCCAACACATCCGACTTCTGTGGGAATTTGTTGACCGGTTTAGCCTTCCCGGTGAGAAAATATCTAAGGGATGCTAACTACCTGGGACCTCTGAAGTAATGCTTGCCACTCTGCACGGAGCCTGCCTGTCTCCACCTTTCTCGACTTGCTCTCCAAGTGGGTTACAATCACGGCATGTGTGTCAACTAATCTCCCTAAACGCCGTGACCAGCGTTCTCTAGAGAATTATAAGGCCACCCCCAGTGACTTCCTTGTGGCGATGTCCCTGACAACAATGGACAATCCCCAATGACTTCCTTGTGGCGATGTCCCTGACAACAATAGACAGTCCCCAATGACTTCCTTGTAGCAAGGTCCCTGACAACAATGGACAGTCCTCAATGACTTCCTTGTGGCGGGATCCCAGACAACAATGGACAACCCCCAGTGACTTCCTTGTGGCAAGGTCCCTGACAACAATGGACAGTCCCCAATGACTTCCTTGTGGCGGGGTCCCTGACAACAATGGACAGTCCCCAATGACTTCCTTGTGGCGATGTCCCTGACAACAATTGACAGTCCCCAATGACTTCCTTGTGGCAAGGTCCCTGACAACAATGGACAGTCCCCAATGACTTCCTTGTGGTTGGGTCCCTGACAACAATGGACAACCCCAATGACTTCCTTGTGGCTGGGTCCCTGACAACAATGGACAATCTCTAATTACTTCCTTGTGGCGGGGTCCCTGACAACAATGGACAACCCCAATGACTTCCTTGTGGCTGGGTCCCTGACAACAATGGACAACCCCAATGACTTCCTTGTGGCGGGGTCCCTGACAACAATGGACAACCCCAATGACTTCCTTGTGGCTGGGTCCCTGACAACAATGGACAATCTCTAAGGAATTCCTTGTGGCTGGGTCCCTGACAACAATGGACAATCTCTAATGACTTCCTTGTGGCAAGGTCCCTGACAACAATGGACAACCCCAATGACTTCCTTGTGGCGGGGTCTCTGACAACAATGGACAACCCCAATGACTTCCTTGTGTCTGGGTCCTTGACAACAATGGACAATCTCTAATGACTTCCTTGTGGCTGGGTCCCTGACAACAATGGACAACCCCAATGACTTCCTTGTGGCTGGGTCCCTGACAACAATGGACAATCTCTAATGACTTCCTTGTGGCTGGGTCCCTGACAACAATGGACAGTCCCCAATGACTTCATTGTGGCGAGGTCCCTGACTACAGTGGGCAACCCCCAGGACTTCCTTGTGGCAAGGTCCTTGACAACAGTGGACAACCTCTTATGACTTCCCTGTGGTTGGGTCCCTGACAACAAAGAACAGTCCCCAATGACTTTCCTGTGCCAGGGTCCCTGACAACAATGGACAGCCCCCAATGACTTCCCTGTGCCAGGGTTCCTGACAACAATGGACAGTAACTTACCCACGGCGAAGTATATGGTGCTGGACATGAGCAGGATGGGGACGGTCCTCAGCGGTAGAATGTCAAAGATGACCTTCACTAGAAAGTAGACAGACACCCTGTAGAACCCGCTGACGTTCTCATGCCTGCAAATAGTTTTAGCCATCAATTACAATACCAAAGACCGAGATCTGTGGCGACGCATGAACCCTTAAGCCAGCTGGCACGGGTCTTGATGATGATGATTTATTACAATAGCATTTGAACGCGGCGCAATGGAACCTATTTTATATGGTTTAATCTTATTTAGCTCACTCTCTCTCTCTCTCTCTCTCTCTCTCTCTCTCTCTCTCTCTCTCTCTCTCTCTCTCTCTCTCTCTCTCTCTCTCTTTCTCTCTGTGATTGTTATTGTGCACTTAATTAAGGCTCTATGGCCTTTCAAATACATTGTTATATTTATCTGGTAGTCTGGAAGTCTTAGTTTCAGCTTCATAGCAAACGGGTCGCCTCATCTTTGCTCCGCTTCTGTGCCAACGAAAAACACTCAGAACGTTTATCACAGTCCCTTGTGGAAAGATTGACAGACTGCTGTCTCAGCATATCTAGCATACACTCGCATTAAAGCATACGGTAGCCATCCGAAGTGCTAACACAAACAGTCCAACATTAGAAATGCAGTTCATCATTGATGGTAGCGGAACTTGTCGCCAACAGATCAGCAGCTGCTCACGCGATCAATTGTAATCACATCGCCAACATTGCACGACAGGCATCACGCCATTTTCTGAATCTACAATTCACACCACCACGTTGGTCACAGTCGAAAATACATTCCAAATGCAATCCGCAGCTCACAGGGTCACGCCATGGTTTCAACTCAGAAGCTGGGCGACGAAACTATATCCAGTCTACAAATGGAGCAAAAATACTTCGGCCACCGTCTAGCAGAAGAAAAAATTTGCCTCTGCTTCGAACAGCGCCGCTGTCTAGCGTCCATTTTAACCGGAAGTCTGCCATACAGAACAAAATATTAATAATAAGAAAAGTAAGTAAAAGTAAAGGACCCTTTTCCAACCCTTTCAGGTGTATTAGGTATATAGGGCTAGATCTAAATTGTATAGACCAAAAAGCACTTAGTGGGCGATGTGGTCAGTATCACAACGGCCGCATTTACTTCCCAGGACTGTACCTGGCACCCATTCAAGGCTGGGGTGACCTGGGAGCCTAGGTCATTTTTTAGGAAAAAGAATCCGGCCCTTTCAGGAACCGAACCCACGACCTTCTGATCCGCAGGTGAGCCTCTAGCCGCTAGACAATGGCGCCTCTCAATAAGAAAAAAAATATTATTGTTATTGCCCATTTAAACAAGACTGAAGCCCCTTTAAAATATATTGTTATATGTATTTGCCATTCAGCGCTCAATAATATAATTATTATTATTATTAACACTGAGCAATTAAACAAGGCTTCGGCGACTTGAGCGTCTCCAACTCTCAAGAAAATTAAAAAGAGACAATCGAGCCCCTTCGCATGTTTTTTTGTGTGTGGCGGCGCACATGAGTAGGTTGCCACGGGCTTCTGTTCGTCCAAATCACAGCAGTTGACCTACATCTGACCGCAACCCCGGTATGTCTGGATTGTGAAACTAGACCAACGAGCTTAAGTTCAGGATTAATACTTACATAAAAATCTTTCTTTCTTTGATGAAAACTTCTAGAGCCGTCAGATTGAAGAAGAGCTGAATGATGATGAGGAAAAAGAGAACTCCGCCCCTGGGAAATTAAAGTAAGACATTTTACATGTTGAAAAGGTATGACAGCAGCATAGTGGTAAGTTGTGTAGGCTTACCAAAACAATTGTCTGCGTTCTCCACCTCCATCACTTCCTCCTCATCCTCATCCTCCTCCTCCTCCTTCTTCTTCTTCTTCTTCTTCTTCTTCTTCTTCTTCTTCTTCTTCTTCTTCTTCTTCTTCTTCTTCTTCTTCTTCTTCTTCTTCTTCTTCTTCTTCTTATTCTACAACAACAACAACAACAACAACAACAACAACAACTACTACTACTACCACTACTACTACTACTACTACTACTACTACTACTACTACTACTACTACTACTACTACTACTACTACTACTACTACTACTACTACTACTACTACTAATGCTGCTGCTGGAGTTGCTTTTGTTGCTGCTGTTGCTGCTGCTGCTGCTACTACTACTACTGCTGCTTCTATTACTACTACTGCTGCTACTACTACTGCTACTACTACTGCTACTACCACTACTATTACTACTGCTGCAGCAGCTGCTACTACTACTTTTCGTATTCTTCCTTCTTCTTCTTCTTGCGTTTGCTCTTAAAATGGCGTATGGTGGGTTGTTTCGTTGTTTATAGCTAAACTGCGATAGCTGCGCCATTAGAACGAACACATTCTATTTCAGCAATTTCGCAATTAGTCACCCGATACGACATGCTTGCTGAGGGGCGATGAGTCTATTCTCTATTCTATAGTGATAGTAACAATGTCAGAGCGACAATCCTAGGTTAATTTAGTCTGTCTTTTAATTTTGTCACGTAAACAGACACACATATACCCATTACGTGTGTGTGTGTGTGTGTGTGTGTGTGTGTGTGTGTGTGCGTGCGTGTATGTGTGCGCGTGTAAATAAATGAGATGCTCTGACCTGTCTTTGAACCCAGATACAGGATCCTCTTCAAGATCCCAGTAGATGGCATCGGTGATCCCAGCAAAGACGAGAGAGGTCCCTATCTGCAACAAAGACATCGGTAAGTAATAAGCAAACTAACCTGTTCAAGTTTTACAGTAAAATGGTGATACTGGCATCAGAACTTGGTGACTTACGTATCTTCAGCCCTCCCCCTCCAAATATTTTAATAAGGTGGGGGTGGAGGTAGCTGGGGGGGGGGGGGGGGAGGAGGAGTGTCCCTCTAACCATGCAAACGTTTTTTTTTTTCAAGTATGTGTTTATACAATTCATATTATTTCAGAAATAATATTATATTTATCTGCCTTGAAGCTTCCTAATAATTATTATTATTCATGTAAATCTGTCGTAATGTCTGTATCATTCATGTCCCACTTGCATGTATCTCTCATCACCATGCATGTAGCAGATCTTTTGTAGAACGTCGCTCTCATTAGGATCTGCCTGAAAGAAACTCGGTCTCTTGCCAGCTCTCCCGCCTCGTGCACTTTAATATCCAAGGAGTCACTTACATTCTGTGCCCATCTTCGTATTGGTTGACCCCTGCCCCTCCTTCCTAGTACCATGCCTTCTGCCATTAGTTTTTCTAATCAGCCATGGCGCTTGATATGGTCAAAATATGTCAACGTCCGAGACAAGAAACCGTTTATTAGCCACATATATTTCAAAACGTCAGTATTTTCTTTCTTTTTTGTCCATGGTATTCTGAGAATCTTTCTATAGCATTTCAGTTCGAAGAGCCCTATTTTCCTCCGTAATGACTGCGTCTCTGCTGAAGTGAAAGTCGACTCCATGATCTTTCACATATCTATATCTATAGAGTGTTTCTTCGAAGAGCGGGCATCGTGAAAACTGCTTTGTTACATGCCCTCTCCAACACACCACATTTAACCAGCGGTACTCAGTTTGTTTTCTCGCAAGCTATCTTGAGCCAGTTTTAACATACTGCTGTGAATCCTGGACAATTAATAAACAATCCACACAATTTCTTGAGTCCTCGGAGATGTGGTTTTATACAAGAATCTTTAGGATTCCTTGGACAGACAAAAAGAGCGACCCGGATGTTTTGAAAGAGGCGAGAGTTGGAAGACAACTTATCACAAACATTAGAAGTAGACGATCATAACGGTTTAGTCATGATTTAAGACCACTGAAAAGACTTGTGGAAAGAGAAGACAACGCGAGATTCTTCACAGCCTTTTGTCGTGCCATGGAAGGGGAGTCAACTCACGAATTGATGCACGCAGTTGCAGATGGAAGATTGTGGAGAGGAATGATTGCCATGTCAGTTGGCAAGAAACTTGACCATGATGTTTTCATCATTAATTTTGTTTGTTTGTTTTGTCTGTTGTTGTTGTTGCTATCCGTACAAATGTTTTATTTACTGCATAATATGTATCACCGTACATCAAAAACTGCAAGATATGACCCAATGTTCCACCTCAACAGATCATATGTCTCACGTGTTCTCCTAATTTACAATTTGTAGTTTTTAAAGTTTGCAATAGTAAAGTCAAATAAATGATTCTTCCCACTCATTCAGCCGTATTGTGCTCGACATGTGTTTTATAGACCAATCAGCACTCAGTGGGTGATGTGATGAGCATCATATCTGCCGCCTTTACTTCCCTTGACTGTACCTGGTATAAATTTGAGGCTGAGTCGACTTGGGAGCCAAGGTTATTTTTGAAAAACGTCCGCTCCACCAGGTCAGCCCTCTTTTCAAGTTTTTACATAAACGAAATCCTTTCATAAGTTTTTGCCATTATGGCTCTTGCATGTTTTGGAAAGACTTATGTGAGACTTCGTGACTGAAGGAGTGAATGTTCTGTTTTGGGCACTAGGTGGTTTTGCTGTTCAACTGTAGGAGTGTACATACCGTAAACAGACTGGCCTGCGGGTGACGTATTATGTCCTTCATGGTCCTGTTTGCGACAACACAAACCTACATTTTGAAAATAATATGTGAAACATCGGTGACAATGTGAAGCATCGTTAACAATGCGAAACAAAATGTGAAACATAATTGACAATGTGAAACATCGTTGACAATGTGAAACATCGTTGACAATGTGAAACATAATTGACAATGTGAAACATCGGTGACAATGTGAAGCATCGTTAACAATGTGAAACAAAATGTGAAACATAATTGACAATGTGAAACATCGCTGACAATGTGAAACATCGTTGACAATGTGAAACATAATTGACAATGTGAAACATCGTTGACAATGTGAAACATAATTGACAATGTGAAACATCGTTGACAATGTGAAACATCGTTGACAATGTGAAACATCGTTGACAATGTGAAACATCGTTGACAATGTGAAACAAAATGGCATTGACAAAAATAAATACAAAACAGAGACAATTGTCTTTTACGTAAACACACAGATTCAATGCCTGAAATGCAAGTGTGAACGTGGGGGAGGATGGGTAAGAATTGGTATCCAACAGCCCTCCCCCACAACAAGCATGTCGTATGAGGCGACTAATTAGGCATGTCTCCCTTGAGGTCACAGTGCAACTTCCTGGGAGTTATGGAACAATAGTCTGCATATAAATAAGACAGATGCCTGAAACGGTTGCGCATGCTAGTTCAAGTTCTTGAACAGGACCCCAGTCCAGAAGTGGACGAACAACCAGAACTTTTGGCTGGAGTTTATAGCAAATCAACAATAAAAAGAAAGAGAAGACTACCGGAATTCAAGGAAAAGGGCATTCTTACATTTTATTTTATGGTTCAGATCGCTGGTTCTGCTGGCTCAAGAACGACAGATACTAGACACTCGCCATGGACTAAGAAGCCAGTGTAGACTATTTATGATGTTTTGTCGAGCCGCCGTGATGTAGTAGGTAGACGCTCGCTTGAGTATCCGAATGTTGTGTGTTCAGAGCCTGTCGCAGACGGTCATTTTTTTTCTCCAAAAATTACCTTGGCTCCGTTCCACCCAGCCTTCAATGGGTATTAAGTAAAGACTTTGGAAGTAAAGTCGGCCGGTATTATACTGACGACGTCACCCATCGTGTGCTGATTCTTAATTCAACAGTCAGTCCTCATACCGAGGGTACCTCTGGCAACGTGACGAGAAGTTCGCTGGGTTTTTGTCCTCCTGCGAGTAGAACATTATTCAGACACTTTGTTCACTCTTAGATGAAACATTATCTCCAGATATTAATGGTGTTTTAGGACAGTTAAGAGAACGATACATGTCGCGATAAGAGACCTAACAAAGAGAGTGACCTCCCTTCCCATTGATGCTTCGATCTGCTGTAGCACCTGTGGTATGTTACATGGGTTTCAGGTGTAGTGAGAGGTATTTTACTCCTTGTTGTCATCGGTCAGCGATATCAGGTCTCCTATTCTATGAGCGCTTTTAACGGTCCCAAAATATGTACAACTGGGCCTAACCTCGATCCCCTGCTCTCTGTTATACGCTGCATACAGTCGTGCGACCTAGGATGT